GCGGTAGCATTTATGTGACTGGTGTGTATTTAGGCAATATGTAAAATTGTCGTATATAAGGGTCATTTTGATTACAGCTGTATGTCAGAGACCAGAACACTGCACTTGAATTAGACAAGCGACCGTGCATATTGACCAAGTTTCAATAATTTAACCAAATTTAGTTGGTCAGATGAAATATCTGCTTACTGTACATGTAATGAGGAACCTAACTGGACAACTTCATGCCAGAGCTGCATATTGCATCTAAATAGGAGTTGGTGTTAAAATGGCGCCTTCGTGCCACGTGTAAACACGAACACTATCAGACCTTTTCATCATATCCCTCACAATTAGCGGCTATGCTACTCTGTCAAGTCTCTATTTTTTCTGAATGCTTATCTTTTGCATAAAGTGGCAAATGGCTGCATCACAAATGTAAACTAGTTTTTTGTTTGTTTGCTTTTTGGATTTTTTGCACATCAACATGTGGTACTGAAGAAAGACGAACGTTAAGAGGAAAAAGGGCTTGAAAAAATATAGAGATCAAAAGTTACAGAGATAGAAAGAGAGGTAGGAGTGGGAGTGCTCTTTCCCCGCCCCTCTCGTATCCTCAGATGAACTTATCGTGTTGCCTCATAATGCTTCTGAGTTTTTCTCCTAGAGGCAGTCAGGCTTACTTCCTTCATTCAGCCTCGACATAGCTGATTGGCTGATATCTTGGCTGACCGACCGCGGTTTGGAGCGAAGCAACAGGAAGTTTCTCTTCTCGTGCAGGAAGCTGCAGCTGTTTCGTCCTGACATACACTGCTTTGCACTTTTGCACGCATTCTCTTTGTGTGCATGTGCACAAATATGCACATGCACACACGCACACATGCACTGGATTTGAAAGGGCATACCTTTCCAAGTGTTTGTGATTATATGCTGTATACGTGCATGTACAGTCTGCACCGTGTGGCATTTGTAAATGCTCTAACATGTGGGCGTGTAGCGACATGCAAGGCCAGGATTCTGAGCTATCAGAAACATTTGAAACCATGGTAACCACACATCTCATTAGCACATTAGCAAAAGCATAGACAAGTGGAGATGAGAGGACAGAGAAAGTAGATGGAGAGGAGGAAAGCGACCTTCTCGTCTTTCAGATTTTCTTCATTCGGAGATTTTAGACACACACTAGTCATTCGAGTCTGCAGATTGGCTGCTTGGCCTGTCAGCCATGGCTCCTTGTCTATATGTGTATCTATGGGTCAGGTTGTTGTTGGAACCTGATAGTCAGCACAGTGACTCCCATATGCTCTTGGCGTATCTGGGTCATATATCTTTTCCTCAAACAAACTGTCCAGCATGTTTATCCAGCGCTCAGGCTGACTCAACATTTGTCTGTGCAGCCATCTACTGCACACTGATCGCAAAAGACTGGAAGCCTTTTCATTTAATTACCATTCATCTAATCAAGATCAGCTGAGCTCCTTTAATGCCCACAGTTTGAGCAACTGCGCTGTGTTGTCTGTACCAGTGTACGGTTGTGTTAGTACACACATATGGCAGCATATCTCTGCATACATGCGAGCATGAGCTCTGTGTTGTGCCTAGCTAATGAGGATATACAGAACATCAGAGCGGGCACCACGCCAGGTGGGATGGTAGAGGCTCAGTGCTCCTTCGTCCTTTAATGCAGGCATATAGCGCTCCTGAGAGAGTGGGAGGATGAAAGCTTGTGTGATAAAGTCACCACGGTGCTTTTAAGAGGATCAGTAAGAATGGACGTTAGCCGAGGAATCGGTCGGGGAATTCTTCACTCTGCCATCTATTGTGGCTCACTTCCTCCATCAACGCCACCGCTCCTCCCCCTCTTTAACCACCACCTCCACCTCCTTACTCCCCTTATTGAAATTCTGCCCGGCACACAGACTCTGTCCATTCTTGGCACAAAGCTCAGAGAGCGAAACACACAAGAACCTGTACCAATCGTCTGGTGCCCGTTGTGTCTGTGCCAAACATTCGTTCTGTCTCGCGGACCAAGGGACCGGGCGAGCCAATAGGTGTTTTCCTGCCTCTGCTTCCTGCGGTAATCTGCTCCAATTTTGAGGACTTTTGTTGGCAACCGGGTATGCTGCGAGCGTTCTGAGAGTCGATAATTAACCCGCGTGTTTACGTTGTTTGCATCGGACGAGAAATAAATCGCCCGGTGGGGAACAAATACTGAATCCTCCCGTCAGAGGAGAGGAGCTGAGGCTGGTTTCCATTATGTTCTTAATCCTTTTTTTCACATGGGGGTCTGTTTGTTTTAATACGGAGACGGGAAGTTTGTAAAACCTGGTTCCCTTTGCTCGCCGCTTTAATGGCGTTTGCTCTTTGTTTGACACTGATGTTTAGAAAGAACGAAGAATGGCGTGGTCAACATTAAACCATCCATTCTGATTTTAGTCTGTGGTCCACAAAAGTCCACTTTGCCTTCTTTCTAAAAACATAATGAAGGCAAAGTGTGTCTTAAAAAGGCCTCCCAGTTTGTAACTGGTATAAAAAGACTTTATTCTGTGAGCTTTATAGAGTAAAGTGATGCCAAAGAGCTCAAACTGTCAGAGGGTTTGGAAACCTCAAAATACACGTGTAACTGTCACCCAGAGAAGGATGACGAGGCCGAAGCAGGAAATTGCCTCCAGAAAAACATCCTGGTCACAGCAGAGTCGTGTTATCAGAGGGTACGAGTGGACGAGGCCCACGTTTCTTGGCGTACGCTGAAAACCGCCGCTGTGAATTTACAAACATTTAGCCGTGATTCTGCCGTGACAGATGCACAGCTGACAGGCAGATGGGATTCACTCAGAAGGCCAGATT